AAGATACAGCGGTGGGTTTGGTCTTCTCTCGTAACCTATAAACAAGGGAAAATGATCGAAAATGTTGTACTGGGTAAATGATGACGTAACAGGAAGCAAAAAGTTCGTCAACAGAGATGCTGTGGGAAACTTCATCACACGTTATCTAGGAGATACTGGCTACTGCCAATAATAACCTTCCTGCGCTCGTGACAGTAGAGATGCATAACCGCTCAGATACTGGGCGGACCCCTAAATCTCACCCCTTCTCAGTATTGTCTCCGAAAAGGACGAGAAGGACGTTAAGGATTCGCCAACGCAGGTGATGTGGGAGCCATTGTCGGTCCCTGGACTCGTAATGATGTCACATTTGTCTTTTTATGGCTGCTAGTTTTGTACGGGACCCTTCGTCTTTCGAGATTTTGAGAGGATCCAGTTCATTCAGCCACCCTAAATTTCGTTGCAGTACGTCTTAAGTCTTTCCATAGGTCTTAAGCCTGGAAACTTCTTCAATTCCGGAGATACAACATCATACCTTCCATATAGCAGAGATGGAGAGGGCAAGGTTCGTACTCCATTTGCATGGCTAAGATGCATTTCTTCAAGGGGATTCTATTTGAGGCAGCTGCCTTTCTGTTCTGGAAAAAGACATGATTGAGATCGTGCCATAAAACATTCCAGTAGAAGCTCAGCAAACTCCACGTTTGAGTGAGACGCGCGGCCACGCCCTCTCCATTTGCGAGATATGAACTGTATTCATGAATTAGTGATAACCTCTGAAAATAGGGATCCAGTGTAGTCAAGAAAAATAATGCCTCTCATTATATTCCACGATTTATGGGGCGCAAGAAGCCCACCATTATCCACTTCAAAAACAAGATTCCATTTTATTGCACCATTAAACGTTTTTCGTAAGCCGATCATCCCATGTATCAATCGTTTGACTCGCTCAAAAGCCCGGGAACTTCAACATTTTCACTTTTTCTGCGATCAGATGTTCATGTTTTGGCAAGTCTACTTCAATTTGAATGGTTTTGTATATTCCCGCCAGAAAATATGACGTGGCGGGGGTAGAGGTCGTTGAGCTTTTTCACATATTTTTGCCCCGCGGGAGTGAGGGTGTTGTATGTACACAAGTCATGTCAACACTCGAGAAGCGATCGGCAGCAGTGGTAGAAAACTGGATCGTATTGAAGATCAAAGAATATATTCTTTCAGCTTACACTCAGCAATACACCGACTTCAACCCGTTGATCGAGAAGAACGTGAAAGACGGGTTCACTATTCTGGCGTTCCCATGTAACCAGTTCTATCTGCAGGTTAGCAGAACAAAGCATAAATGCACTTCAATAGAGATCAATCACGTTGACGATTGTCCTTGCCTTTATAGGAACCAGCTGAAAACCATGAACTCATGAATGGTATTATGTATGTTCGTCCAGGAAACGGATGGAAACCACATCAGAACCTTCACGTCTATGGAAAAATCGACGTGAACGGAGAGAATCATCATCCTCTCTACGAGTTCTTGAAGGTCCGTTTAGGCTTGTCTATTCATTTTTACAGGGGGAAGCGGTGCCGATACTTCGGGAATGCGCCATGCATAACGCCTTTGGTCTACATTATTGCAGTAGTCGAAAGAGCATGGGAACTACATATACGTTTGCCTATAAACACCACCGAAAACCTCCAACATTTTCTGAAAAGCGACATGTATTTGGCTTCTCATTCGGAACGGTGGGCTGTTGTGGGGTAGCTGGACGGTGATGTGGGCTCAGTTGTAGGGTAGGCTGGTGACAGACAAGTTTCACCTTTCTTATAAAACTACGCCTAAATAATGACAAGGTCGACTGAAAGCCGAAAGTGATAGTGCCGCTGCTAACCATTATACCCGTTCTTTATCAAGGGCGAATTCTTCTTTTTGTCCAACAATCAATCGAATTCCCTAACTCTTTCGCCGTTGATCCGTTGCGCTACCCTTTTTTCCTGCAGCAAAAACTGATCAGCACTTGACGCGACCTTCAATGGTTTGTATCCAGCGACAATCGCAGTAATTCATTGGCTCCATGCCAACGTCACTGACGTCGTCAGACAGTATAGATAATAACAAAGACTCTAAGCGCCAGCGCTCTTCTCGACAACCAGTTTCTAGGGTATTGTCATCGATAGTGAGCGAGACGAAACGTGATGGATTGTAGATGGTGTGACCTGGCGTGAAATATACTTATATAGCTAGAGCACCCTCATTAAACGTGTCCCACAGCCGCCGAATTCATCAGTCAGTTCTCCAGCGGATAATTCCGGTCACACTTCCACGTTTGCAATGCGCGATTGGGATTGATTAATTAGTTAAGTAGCCGTAAACTAGGTCCAGTCGTGTAAAGCGCTTCGTTCTAGTTAGTCTCAAAACCAAGCGAGAGCGATCCGCTCGCAGAAATGGAAGAAATGATAAGGGTCAGAAAGGGGAAGGGATCAGTTGCATGGTTCTTTAGTAGGATCGATCCCGTCTTGATGAACAAAAATCAAGACTTTCGCTCTTGTTCCGTTCATAACACTTGACTTATTGTTAGAATTAAACATTAAGCCAATAGGCAAGTAATTCTATGCCTGTCATTATTTGAGAAGAGAGCACATTATAACACATTACACGGTAACTGAGTGGGCGGAGAGGGACAATCAGCGCGCCCCTGTCATCGATGTGACCATCTTTTGAAAGATACCTAAGAGGGGACGTACGTGTGGTAAGATGAATCTTCGCCTCCACCCATCTGCGCGATTTTGTCTTTACATTAATTCGCTCCTAGTAGAGCTGCAACGATTATGATGTTTTGGGGCTCAAGGACCACCATTGTCGTTATAACTTCAAATTTCATTTATATCCCGAATCAACACAGAAGCATGAAAAGAAACAGATTCTGCAATTTCACTTCCCACGATTTCACTGCAAATCGACATCTAAGTTGGTCCCATAAATTCGCCATAATTATGAAATGGAAGCGGATAAGTGGAGTGTAGCAAATTTCCGCTCGGCACTACTTTCCCGTTGCTCCTGGAAGTATAGATTGGGAGATCAGCAGCACATCAACTTCGATTACCTCAGTATCTGCCTATAGTCAAGTCTATTGCCTATAGCTACAATTATAGTGAGAATATTAGCCGCTGTGATTGATTAAATGTTCAGGAGAGCTGCCCACAGACTGTAGAGAAAATTGGAAAAACCGACGAGTTGATGTACAATCCAGTTCGAGCGAATGATATCACGTGGAACTTCGAGAAATTCCTTATCGACAGACAGGTGATTGTATTAGGAAAGCTAGTTCACTGGTCGTTGATATTCTCGTCCAAACTAGGGGTTTCTTTTTCAGGGTCGTCCACGATTCCGTTTCCACCCTACCGCCTGGAGTCACGGTGACGTCGTCCAGCCGTTCATCGAACAGCTACTCAATGAGAAAAGCTAAAAAAACTCCAAATATCTCATCTCCTTCCATTTCTGATTCGTGGTAAACGCCGAGTTACCTATCGATAGTGCTGACTCATTTCTGTATGATACGTTTGTAGCGGATTCCTTCGTCTCCGATTTGTAGCGTTACTCTCTTCACCTTCGGGTTATATGTATAGCTGGTCTATTGCTTGTGTCTGTAGTCGGATTGAGCTTACATCCTCAATAAGGGGTGTTGTGTCATTAGTGAGCTATCGCTATCGAGCGTAGTCCTCTCTATTCCTTGTAACTACTGTACCTGATCCTAATAAATGGCTTTGACCAAAAAGTTGTTGGAACATTTCATAGCCACTTTTCTTATCAAGCAGGAGAAAAAGCTGAAATTTAAGCTTCTTATTACCAGCAATATGTGGAGCACGGAGGTATTATATATGTAAAGGTAGGGTAGGAGTAAAGAGAGTTATGGTGCGGGCCACAGCCTCCGATCGGGTAGTTCAGATTCCATGAGCAGTCGCCATGCGCTGCCCTCACTGGAGCATTACCGTGATCCCTTCGACAGCAGGGATGAAACTAAAACAAAACATATTGGTCAATCAATGATGTTCACGACGCTCTACAGCTCTTTGAAAGTCTTCTGTCACTGACACTTCCACTACTCTTGAGAGAACGGGATGTGATGTGCTGATTCAATATGTATTCGTCTGTTCGGTCCGACACCTGAAACTGTGGTAATAAAGCTTCGAGACAATAATAGCGCAACAGCGCAATGGACACAAAAAACACAGAGCTTCAGTGCAGTTACGGAAAATAATGGAAGATACTCGTAACAAAAAACAACGAGAAATTTGAAAGGAGACAAATAATTAAGTGGACACCGAAGTCATGCACAGCTTACATAACGACATGATTTAGATGATACAATTCAAATCGCTTCATCGCCAAAACAGAGAAATATGCCTAAACGAAAACCAAAATCGCATATCTACATCGCAGTGCCACAAAGCCAAAAATTCATAAAAACAGAGAAAGAGCATACCGTGAGCCTGAACTGCTCCCGCTATTTATCTCCCATTTTGGCGCGCTCCCGCGATCTGAGCAGTTAATCTCCTTCGATGACTGCGATCTCGATGCAACAATATGCTCTGAAGTGGAGTGCTGAAAAGGGTCATATTCTGCTTTGTTTTTTGTTCTTTCGGCTCCGCACTGGTGATTTGATGTCAAGGATCGTCTGGGTGGCAGTGGGACCTCTGGCATGGCCATTCGAGATATACGCCACATTTATCAAACACTAAACATAGCGGAATATTCTTTTTGGTCACGTACTGTATTCGTGAATCCCATGATCAACGTCTAAACAATTATTTGTGAACGGAGGAGATAAATAGTAGCTTGCTCTGATTGGAGAACTTCTGAAGAACGAGTCTCACTCCTTTGGGAAATAGAAGAGTTGCGCTCGTCCGATCACCGATCGCTGAATGTTCCATGACAATGATCATGTACTGCATGTGTTGGCAGATATGAGAAGAATTCCTGTTTGTGACAGTTTCTCGAATTGGGTTTTTGTGAATTTGACGTAATGCACTGACTCCCAAAGCGTTGCTGTGCCTTCCGAAAGTTCCGACAAAACTTGTTGGGATTGAATGAGTTCCATCACGGGTTGAGATCATACTTGTTCTGAAAGTCAATAGCAGTGCTTCGAGGCTTTGCAATGTTTTGCCGGGCGAGTGCCTTCCCTTAGACCGGCAGAGAACCACATCCAAGAATCCGCTTCGCAGGCGCTTCCCTTGTAAGTTTACCATTCACAGGCGGTACAGATATACTGTAATCATTGCTGAAAGGGACATCCACAATGAGGTTCGTCTTTTCGAAGCACCTGATGAATGTGGGACGTTCCACTTACACTGTCATGGAACATCATTCAGCACACACGCTGGACCGCCAATCGGGGTCCAGTGTGCGCGCACAGCACGCACACTGGACCCCTGCAAAGGTCAGGCGTACGACGACGCATGTACTGGAGCGCAGCCGAGACAGCTCCTTCCACGAATGAAGCCCCTCTGAGCTCGCTATAATTGGTGGGAAAGGTGCCCTGGCTGCGCTTTAATGGACGCAAAGTCACACGTCCCTATCGCTTGCAAGGATCTGTCTGTTTGCAGAGTTTACGCTCCAGATCCCTGCGCTAGAAAAGGAGTTGTTGTTGTGTACTTCATTTGAGCATACTGGTGGCTATAAAGGGAAATCGTCAAGGCTCAAGGACGATTGTAATC